ATTTCCTTTGTTCATCATTTATTCACCTTTGCACCAACATTACTAACCTAACTCTCACACTACTTGCTACTATCTTTCAACTATCTACTAGAGTTTTTTACACTATCCAGCTACATTCTAAACTATCATTATTCCCTCAAATTCCAATATGTATATCCAGAAACTGAACTCGTGATTGGTGACTGTTGTTTTTTTGTGTTGTGTCAAATTTTAGGTTTCGAGAGAAGTGTTTGAATATTTCAATAAAAGCGTATACAATACTTTAAGAGTGTTGGGTATCTAAATAATTTCCGATGAATTGTACTTAATATTTACATGCATGACATGTCACTGTAACCATATTCTCATTTCAGGTTATGTTGCAGCCACAAGAGGTAATTAGAGGAAAATGACATACAGCTGCTTGTTATAATTCATTAGAGCAACTAAAGATTCTTTTTATCCTCTTAAAAATTAAAATACAAATAATAATATATGCTTATTGTTTATATGATCCTATTGGTACTTGAAATCTTGAACTAAAATCACTGCTACTCTAATTTAATTGTATAATAATTATTCTCTTTTATTTATTTGTTTATATTCAATCAATTACAACAAAAATGCAAGTATGCTTCTAGATTAGAAAATGACACTATCTTGGTATTATTCATATTTAACATGCTCAAATAGCTATAAATCCTGCTGTGAAAACACACACTGCAATATAGATTTCGAAGGTTCCTAATAAAAACATAGGAAGTTTTTGGTTTAAAACAAATGATATTTAGAGAAAAATAACACAGGCAATGCACACAATCCTGTCTTACATGCTCGCACCAAGCACATAGAATTAGATATCCATTTTGTTTGTTAGAGAGTGGTGTTCAAGAGGCTACTCATACAACATGTTCCTGCTGCTATGCAAATAGCAGATACCTTGACTAAATCACTTGTGCATTTCAAAACTTGAGGTCCAAGCTCAAGGCTATTTGTGAAGGCCACTCTCCTTGAGCTTGAGGAGGGTGTTAGAGATATTTTTTGATAAGCTAGTTTAAGAAACTGATCAACTAACATTGATAGTTGCTTATGGTTGAGAATTTTGTTAGAGAACAGTTTAATGTTAAGTTTCTAACAGAAGTCTTTTATTTCTCTATGCTAGCATCCTCTTGTTTCTAGTGCCTTTGCATGTAATGTATATAAACTAGGTTCCACAATTGTATCATTAAGAACTCTCGATGATAATATTCTTGATAGTAGATTTTGCTTTTCATTCTCTAAATTCAAAAGCATGATGAACTGTGTGAGGGTTCATCTTCAACAAGATGTAAGCAACTTACTTAGCATCTCCAAATGTCTCTGACGTATGGTGTTCTATTACATTTTTCCTATTTTGATGCAACATGTAAATGAATGTGCTTTTTTTACTTTGGCTTGGTTGTACTAACAAAAATAACTAATGGAAATACAATGAAAAGCTTATCAAATTGGTTAAGATTGGTGGGATTGTTGCCTATGTTATCATAATTTTTGCCTTACCCAAAAATGGCTGATTTAGATCCAAATAGAGAATGAACACATAGGCCATATGTCATGTTTAGATTGTTTCTCTTATTTCTAATTGTATTTAGATGGTAAGTGACAATACTTTATCTCAAAGTTGTATTATTAATCTTTTAAATTATGTCATACAAAATATACTTTCAAAATATTCGATTAATGAACATGTCATGTCTATAGATAATCTAGAGTAAAGGTTACAATGTATTTAAAGTATAGTTTTTATAATTTCAATATATTTTATATTTCATGAATACTCAGTAAAATAAATAATAATTAATCATCTGTCACATGAAAATCACGCCACAAACACAAATATCACGTCACAAAAAGAAATTAGCAACGTGAACAAAACATGTCGCATGAGCGCTTGTGGCAACTAGTTGTCACACTGCACCCCATTTACATAAACTGTAAAGTAGGGGTAGTGTTGACTAGTTATCTACATGATAATCATACCACAAACATGATATTAACGATATGAAAAATACACCACAAAACTGAATAGTGTCAGAATTTTGCCATATAATTTTCATTTTGCAGATTTTTTTATTAAAATAATATATAAATAATTAATAATAATATACAAACATATTAAACAACCCATAATTCAATATAAATAAAAAATAATACATACCTAAGAAACTATATAAAATGAAGAACCTTTAATCAATCAATGCAGCTTTTTGAATCTTGAACAACTTCTTGAATCTTAATCAACAAAACAGAAAAATTAAATAAAAGAAAATTTTAAAATGGAGAAGCTTAATCAAAAGGAAAACTAAAAAATAATACATACCTTTGAGTCAAGAAATCAAATAAAATAAAGCTTTGCAAAAATGGTGAGGGAGGGGGAGGAAAACCTAATAGAAATGGTGAAGGCGGGAGGAAATGTTTAGGGAGAGGAAGAGGATTTGTGTTTGTATTTGAGGGAGAGGAAGATGAATGTTCAGGTTTTTTTTCTTTTACTAATAGTTTGTGGAAAGTGTGAAGCAGTGCAATAAATAAATATTCTATAAAATTATCAGTCCACTTGCAATGTAACTCAATCAATTCTACCGATTAATATTTTTCATTTAAAATTTTAAAATTTTATTAGCGACATATTTTACACGCCACAACAATATTTTTTAAAATATTAAAATTTTTCCATATATGAAAACTTAACATTTATTATTTTTAATTATTTAATAAAAAATTTCATGTCACAATCTTTTATTTTAACCACGTGAATTTTACGTTATTAAATTACGTGGTTGGAGACAAAAAAATTTATAGCGAATATAATTTATGTTTTAATATAATATATTGTGTATATGATATGCTAAATATCATCTAGTTTTAGTTTAATTTATTTTGTGTAAGTTGTACTTCAATTTTAAAATATATCTTATATCAATGTACTCTTTGTTAAATTATATTTCATAGAGTTATCAATCATATTTAATTTAAAAAATCTTGGTTTTCAAAATACTCACTTTTTTATATTTATTTTTTAAAAATCTTCAATTTTCAAGATATTAAATTAAATTAAATTTAAAATATAATATTAAATATTGCATATAACTGATTATTATTGCAAAAAATTAAATTGGAATAGACATTAGATTGGTGTACATACTATGAATTCAAGATTTTAAGTTTAGATTGAGATTTAAAATCAGTTATAAATAAATACATATTTTAAATTTTGATTTTTCTAAAGTTAATTATTTTACACTAAACAAGTGATCGGAGACGGGTAAAGGAAATTAAACCATGCAACATTTTAAATAAAAAAAAATCTAATTTAAAAACATGTATTCTCTTCCTAAATATTGCATCTTGTTAATTAAGTTTTTTTAAACCGTTCAATTCAGCAAAACGTGATTACTATACTTTATCACCTCTTCCAAAGATATTAGTCAACAGAGCAGTTGTGAAGGCGACGATAAAGTTTAGACAATTTGACCTTATTTGAATTGGTTATAAATAAAGAAATATTTTAAATTTAATTTTTTTTATTAATTGATTTTTTTACATTACATAGGTGATTGGAGAAGGAAGAAAAAAATTAAATCATGCAACATTTTAATTTAAAGAAAAATCATTTATGACAATTTTATAAATAAAACAAATCTAGTCTAATCTTTACAAATTATATATTATTTGCATAACATGGTTCAATAACAATAATAATTTTATAATAACAATAATAATAATAATATTTGGCGGCAGAGTTTATGTAAAAGCAAGTATTTTTTTCGTAAATATTGCATTGAATCAAATCGTTGATTAACTATATTTTAATTGTTCAAATCAGCGAAACGTGATTGATATATTGCATTACCTCGCTCAAAAATATCGGTCAACAGAACAACTGTGAACAAAAACGACGATAAAGTTTAAATTATTTAACCTCACTTGAATTAGTTATAAATAAATAAATATTTTAAATTTAAATTTTTCTATTAATAGGTCTTTTTACACTACATAAATGATTGGATAAGAAAGAAAGAAATTAAATCATGCACAACATTTTAATTTAAAGAAAAATCATTTATCACAATTTTATAAATAAAAAAATCTAGTCTAATCTTAAAAATATTTACAAATCATACATTATTTGCATAACATTGATCAATAACAAATAATAATTTTATAATAATAACACTAATAATATTTATTATTATTATTATATATTATTTGACGGTAGAGTTTATATAAAAATATGTATTCTCTTCCAAAAATATTACCCTTAATTGAATCGTTAATTAACTATTTTTTAACCGGTCAATAAATATGATAAATATATTTCATCACTTCTTCCAAAGATGTCAGTTAGCATAGCAACTATGGACGAAGGCGACAATAGAGTTTAGATAATTTGACCTCATTTAAATCAATTATAAATAAATAAATATTTTAATTTTTAATTTTTTTATTAATCGATTTTTTTACACTACAAGTAATTGAAGAAGGAAGAAAGAAATTAAATTATGCACCATTTTAATTTTAAAAAAAACTCATTTATCATAGTTTTATAAATAAAAAAAATGTAATCTTATCTTAAAAATCAATAACAGTAATAATTTTATAATAAATAATAATAATAATAATAATAATAATAATAATAATAATAATAATAATAATTATTATTATTATTATTATTATTATTATTATTATTATTATTATTATTATTATTATTATTATTATTATTATTATTATATTTAATAGCAGAATTGTTATAATAATAATTCTTATTATTATTATTATTATAATATTTGGCGGCAGAATTGTAATAATAATTTATTATTATTATTACTATTATTATAATATTTGGCGGCAGAATTGTTATAAAAGCACATATTCTCTTCGAAATCTATTACACCACTTAATTAACTACTGCATTTCTATAACTGTTCAACCTTCATCACCTCTTCCGATGATGTCAGTCAGCAGAGCAACTGTGGAGGAAGGCAATGGTGCCACCAACGTTAGGGCAAGAATTCTTCAGCAGAGCAACTGTGGAGGAAGGCAACGGTGCCACCAACGTTAGGGCAAGAATTCTTCTCCCAGGTTTTCTCCACAGCGTGAAACTCAAGTACCTCAAGTTAGGTTACCCCTACTTAATCTCAAATCTCTTAACCCTATCTTTCATCCCCTTAATCATAATCACTTTATTTCAAATCTCACAAAAACAAAATCTCAACCTCATCCATATCATCACTTTCTCTGGTTTCACAGTCTTCGTTTTCATTTTCCATATTCACACGCGCCCACGCGCCGTCTACCTCATCGACTTCTCTTGTTTCCGTCCCGCCGATCACCTTAAAGCTCCGTTCCACAGCTTCATCCAACATTCACATCTCACCGGCGACTTTGACTACTCCTCTTTAGATTTCCAGCGCAAGATTCTTCTTCGATCAGGTCTCGGTGATGAAACCTACGCTCCCGAAGCCATGCACTGCATTCCTCCCCGTCCTTCAATCTCCGCGGCCATATGTGAAGCAGAATCAGTCATGTTTGGTGCGTTGGATAATCTTTTCATCAACACAAACCTAAATCCAAAAGAAATTGGAATTCTCGTTGTGAATTGTAGTTTGTTTAACCCTACACCTTCACTTTCTTCCATGATTGTTAATAAATATAACCTGAAAAGTAACGTTAAGAGTTTCAATTTAGGTGGAATGGGTTGTAGTGCTGGTGTTGTAGCTTTTGATCTTGGAAGAGATTTGTTGATGGTTCAGAAGAATGATACCTATGCTGTTGTTGTTAGCACTGAAAATATTACTCAGAATTGGTACTCTGGGAATAAAAAATCAATGCTTATACCTAACTGTTTGTTTAGAGTTGGTGGTTCAGCTTTGTTGCTATCGAATAAATCTGTTGATAGAACCAGGGCTAAGTATAAGCTTGTTCATGTTGTGAGGACGAATTGCGGTGCAGACGAGAAGGCTTATCGATGTGTTTATCAGGAAGAAGATGCTGTGGGGAAAACCGGTGTTTCTTTGTCGAAAGACTTGATGGGAATTGCTGGGTTGACATTGAAAACCAATATTATCACACTTGGTCCTTTGGTGCTTCCGGTTACTCAGCAACTTAGGTTTTTTGCTAATTTGGTTTTGAGGAAGTTTTCTAATAGTGATGTGAAGCCTTATATACCAAATTTCAAACTCGCCTTCGACCATTTCTGTATACATGCAGGTGGAAGGGGTGTGATTGACGAGTTGGAGAAGAATCTTGACTTGCTTCCCGTACATGTGGAGCCTTCTAGGATGACGCTTCATCGATTCGGGAACACTTCGTCCAGTTCTATTTGGTATGAATTGGCGTATATTGAAGCTAAAGGGAGGGTAAAAAAGGGCAACAGAGTTTGGCAAATTGCATTCGGAAGTGGTTTTAAGTGTAATAGTGCTGTTTGGGAGGCAATTCGGGATGTGAATCCTTCTCCTTATGGACCATGGGAAGATTGCATTGATAAGTATCCTGTGGAAATACTCACATAGCTTGGTATTGTTGTGTCATGCAGTAGCTGCTCAACCTGTGTTTGGTGACTGTGGCTTTCCAATGTGTGTGTAGTGTCAAAGGCCGTTAGTGGTGACTATGGCTTTCCAATGTGTGTTTTACTGTGGCTTTCTAATGTGTGTTTAGTGTAAAACTCTGTTAGTGTTGATAAGGATTTTGCTTTCACTTCTTTTAGATGTAAAATGCTGTTTCTCTCACTGAATAATATGCTGCTGCATTATAGTATTCTTTGGACTTTGGAAAAACACTGTTCTTTTAACAAGATTCATAGTTATTTTGAAAACCCACTAGAAACAAGATTCATAGTTATTTTGAAAACCCACTAGAAGTTAGTGTCAATATGCTGATGGCCTGCACAAGTATAGTGAGAGTGATATTGCTAGTTCCTTTCTTGCTGAGATAAAATTTCTCTCATTTTACTTACTAGTTCCAAAAGACAGTAGATGATCATTTCTATATTTGCAGGTAGGCACAACTGATAGTGTGTGGGGCTTCCCTTAGATCTGTCTGAAAAACTTGTGTACTCCTCATTTAAATATTAGCATAAGGCTGTATTGGGACTAATCGGTTCATATAATATGGAAATTTGTTGAGATAGTATTTTAAAAAAGAAACAAAGAAGTAATCCTCATTTAAGGGAGGATATATTGTAATTGTTATAAAGCCAAACTACTAAAAAAAGTATTGAGACTAAAATCATACCATAGAAATTCATATTATGATCTGAACTATATACCTAAATCATAATACATGTCATTTGAAACAAATTTTTATTATCACAAAAAATGCATAAGAGAAATGTATAATGAAACTATAACAAGGAGACAATACAATTTATCTAATTGATGATTAATACATTGGTTTTTATAAGATGCCATAACAACATTTTTTTATAAAGTAAGGTAACAATAACTGAATTTTTTATTTAAATTTTTTTTTTTTCAAAAATATTTCTTAAATAACTCACATTTTAAATAATTTTCCAAACTACTCAACTTTTCAAAAAAAAATAATTTATCAGAACGTTGGTGTCAAACTAAGTGGCGATTGCTCTATAAAATTAAGAGAAAACACCAATTGAATTAGAGGTTGCACCTAGTGTTGCCAATCCAATTGAAGCCTATGTGTAATTTTTAATTAATGGCGCCAATTAGCTTGAAACCAGTGTGTGTTGTGTTATTTTTAGCATAAATAGAGGTGGTGTGATCCATTTTTCACATCTATTATCATTATTTGACAATGTTGCTAACATGGTATGTCACCGGAAAGGAAAAGTGATTTATTCGAGAGACAAGCCTCCAATGAAGATGTTGTTCTGAAACATTTGTAGTTTTGAGCAACTACAGAGGGAGTTGATCCATTGGTTAGACGTAGACATACTTGAAGGCGGAAAAATTAGAAGTATTGAGATACATGATGCCCTGCGTGGGTGGGTGCAAGTTAAAAATGATAAGGATGCGAGGGAAATGATGTTTGGACCAAATGATATAAGTTTGATTGTTGTAATCAGTTAGAAATAGTGTGTTTAAATGTTGTGGTTAAATATATTTATTTGTTTTTATATCTGTTGTATGCGTTGTGTATTTAGAACTGTTGTTGTTTGTTTTGTGATATCTGATTTTTTGTTGGAAAGTGTTGTTGTTTTTAAGTGTGTTTAAGTTATGGTGATATTTGTTGTTAACATTGTTGTAACAAAAAGTTATTAATATATCAAAATATAGGGTTACAAAAATTGAAATGAGAAACTAAATTATGATGTAGTGGTTGCTCCGATATTAGGACAATTTTTCGATTTTGTCCAGGCTGACGACATATACTGCATAATCTTATCATTTTATCAACCGTATCCATTTATGTTCTAATACGCATGTTATTTGTGTGACCTTTTTTCTTTCTTCCCATTGGTAGAAGGAGGTTTATTTCATCCGTTATCATGGTTATTGTAAGCACTCTCAATAGCAACATGTCTGTCTGAAATCAAACAGAGATTGGCTTGTGGAGCCACATGTGTTCTAAGATTCCTAAGGAAGAAACTCCAATCACCAGCGGTCTCACCTTCAACCATAGCAAAGGCAATGAGAAAGACATTATTGTTGTCATCTTGTGCAACTGTCATAAGCAAGGTGCCCTTGTATTTTCCGTATAACCATGTTCCATCAATTTGATAATAGGTTTGCAGAATGCAAAACATTTGATGCATGGTTGAAACGCCCAAAAGAGTCGGTGAAATATTATATTTCCACCAACACAAGTTCTGTCTGGCGTAAATGCCGGTAATGTCTACATAACTGCAACAGTCCCCGGTGTGTATGTCTTAAGTGTCACCAAAAATCGTGGCAATTCTTTGTATGAATCCTCCCAGTTCCCGAATACCTATTCAATTGCCTTTGTCATTGCAATCCACACTTTCTTGTACGAGGGAGTATAATTATATCATGTAACGATATGAGAGATTATTATACTGACATTCACTAATGAGTCCTTGTTAACAAGCGGTAAAATGTCTTGACATATAAATTCAACGCTTAATTTTTTGGTGATCCTGTACAATATTAGTGGCAGTGCAACTGTAAGGTGACTTTATAGAAGCTATCTGCCAAGAATCATTTCTCTTCCTGTGAGACGCAGCCAGCTGAAACTTGGAAAGATCGTCACGATAATGAATGACTTTCCATCTCGAATCAATCCAATGTACATTGAAATAAACAGAATTATCCGTGTGATATTTTTTAATAGCTCGCAGACATTCTTCCTTGGTCTGGAACATGTCTTCCACTTTTAATTCACCATCTGACCGCATATACAGGTTGTAAAAAATATCTGAGGATATCTCATCGTTATGCAAGTCCAAATTTGTCATATGTTGAGGTGGACAATATACATGACTTAGAGGTTATGACGCTTGATGATCGTCATCTTCAGTGCTGTTGTTCAACAGATGATAGACATGTGTCTCACTTTCTTCTAATTCGTCGTCAACGACGTCGACTTCCGCTTCAGCTTCATCTGAGTCTTTTGTTTCAAATTCACCAAAGTCAGCTTGATCAATTATCTAAGATTGTTGAGATGATAGAATTTGTTGGAGAGTAATATATAACTCAATAGAGTTGAAACCATAATGTTTGTGACTAATAAACATATATTCAATGTCTTCATCGTCTCACACCTTTAGCGGGTAAAATTTAACTTGATTGTTTTCAAAATAAATTGGATTTTGGTATGAGATTTGTGACACAAGACAAGACCCTAGATAGTTCTCTGTTCTTTTTTCAAATGCAAGAAATTTGAATTTATACTTATTGTAAATCGGACTGTTTCGGTGTTTCGAAAACCAAACTCAGATACATCAAAGTCTTATGTTTCACCCTTGCATTGAGCATTGATAATATATTTGGGTACATATGACATGGTTTGATTTTGTTGGTATGACAGTTGAACTTGTGTTGGTTTAAGTAAGAGTATGTAGTGTTGCTTTGAGTATGAGTATGACAACTGAAGTGTATTAAATATATATCTGAGAAGAAAATGCATGAAGTACATGTGCCAAATGAAATGGCACCTTCATTGACAATTTGCACACACTCGGCAAGTAAGATGGAACCTTCATTGAATGCTGCCTCGAGATTCTGCAAGGTCAGCTTGACAAGACCATGCATGCTGCAATGTCAGCTTGAAAAGAATATGCATGCTTAAACCTGCACACCATAGCCATGCAGAACTCTATAAATGCAGGCTATGAAGTCGCCAATTGAGATGGAGCTTGCTTTGGAATTTTGAGTGTGGTCGCCAATTGAGACGTCGCCATATTTAATGCATGCATTGCACGTTGTTCCTTATAAATAAACAATGTATTTGTATTGCATTGCATTTGCCTTTGTATCAACAACACTACATATCTCTCAACAACACTTGCATCAGTAACCAACACTTCATTTCATATTTCACTTTGCGTAAAAAAATGTCTATACTGGCTATGGATGAATTGTACAAAGGAACTATCGCCATTCTTGGTCCAGACTATTGTCCCTAGCATCCTTCAACCACAACCCGTTCACATTCCCGTACGCACAAAAGTAAATTCTTAACATTAATCATATTTGCTTACTTTACCGATTATTATCTCTGAACAATATATTTACTTTTCTAGCGCAGATGGTCGGCTCATGGTATGACTTACAACAGATGTCCTAGACACTGTATTACTCAGTATTGCAATCTCTTGGATCACCTTAGACCAGCAGATGTAATGTCACTAACTGAATCTATTCATAATAATTTGTTTTTAATAATCACCTATTTTATAATCTAATATATTTTTTCTCTTCAATTCATTTAGCGTCCATATCTAAACTTGGATCATGAATGTGAAATTAACGAACAAGATGTAGCCGTTTGGACTGCATGCACATGGTCGTGTTAAACTGCAGTTCAGCATGCTTCAACACATCTCAGGCTCCCGACAAACCGCTAGATCCAAGTGTCAAAAATGCAAGCACCGACATGACCATGTCTTAAGTGACGTTTTGATGCCAACCGAAGAAAAATCAACTCGTAATTATATGGTTTGGTACAAATAAGTATGATTTGAGTTTCTCGCTGAGGATATGTACCTATACGACCCATGCTAAGTCACATACACACAAGAAGGTTCAACATCTAACCCCCCACAAAATTACCAGACCAGTTTCTCACAATCCCTACCCAACAAAATTACCTCCCCACAAACAGACAAACATACGACCTTAACATGTCAAACACTCAACCACAATACCAAGAGCATACCCCATACCACCACCAACAAGATGATCAATATCAAGACAACCAACATCGATATGCCCCTAACATATCATCCTACCATAGCCTTCATAGCCAAAACACTCAACAATCATTTAACACCACCATCCTATAGCCAAGAAACTCAAACATCACAAAATTAAAACATGCAACAACCAGATGGCTACCAAACACCACAACAACCATA